AAAATTTCTAATACACTACTATGTACAAATAAAAATTATTATTAAATATTTATATTATAAAATAACATATTTTACTTTATATGTAAATTACAAAACATAAAAAAAAATTGTAAAAAACCAACGATTTATGAATTTACGTTAAACACAAGTTAAATCAAACACCCGCACGGGGGTGCGGGTCAAGTTCTAGTCTATCTATCTTATATATTAAAACAGAAGTCATGACTTGACTTCATGTGTGATTTCTTAAAAAATGGACTATTACTAGAAAGTTATGTTACATTAACTCTCTAATAATCTTATCATTATTATATCTTATGTAAAATCATATCTATAATAACAAAAATATGTTTAACAATTTGGTTTTGGTAAATTACCCCACACCTTCCAATTTAGTTACACGAAATATGTCAATAGATATAAGTTTAGAAATCTTCTATTATTTATAAGGAAATATGTCAATAATAGTTAAATGCATCCACAATATATTAACAAAAATCACAGATTAGTAATATGGAATATTTATATACCCTAACAAAATTTACACGCTATATATATTAGAAAAATTTATTTCGATGTAAATATTAAAAAAAAAAATTAAAAAGAAATTGTTTAAAAAATTCCTTTTTAATAAAATTCTTTATAATATTAATTTATGAAGTTATAAGTTTAGTTTATAGCAAAATTATCTTCGAAGTTTGTATTATCTTTGCAAATTAAAGTACACTAATATTTAATCAAGCTGTATTTATATTATTTTATCTAAAAATGAAATACTAATCTAACAAACAATAAAATATAGAAGAAACAAACACATGTTTGAAAAACATGTATAATATAGAAAATTTGAAACAATCTATTTGATTAAAACACTTATTTTATAATATTATTATGTTTGAAAAACATTTACTATACATATCGTAAATATATGATTACTATAGTATATATCAATTTAAAAGTGAAAATAAAATTTTTATATAACTAACTATAAACGAAAACAAATACCCCCGCGGTTGCGCGGGTCAAAATCTAGTCTATATTATTAAAACTGAAGTACCTTTTGATACTGTTTGGAAATNTATAATATTATTATGTTTGAAAAACATTTACTATACATATCGTAAATATATGATTACTATAGTATATATCAATTTAAAAGTGAAAATAAAATTTTTATATAACTAACTATAAACGAAAACAAATACCCCCGCGGTTGCGCGGGTCAAAATCTAGTCTATATTATTAAAACTGAAGTACCTTTTGATACTGTTTGGAAATAAGGATAGCAAAATAAATGAAACATTGTTTGGAAACATGGATAGTAGATTAAGTATTTTCTTTTATTTGTACATTTAGTCATTGTATTTACAATAAATTAAATACTTTCCTTTTATATTTCTTTTTATTTACAGATTATGTCATTGCATTTAAAATCAATTTAAGTTAATTAATTTCAATGATTTTTCTTTCTCTGAGATGAAAATAAAAACATAAACCGAAATATATAGTATACATTATATAAAATAATTTTTAAATATAATATTACCTTATTTAATTTAGTCAAATATAAAATTGTGTAAGTTCAATTTAAAAAAATCATAAAATTAATGATAATTCATAGAAAACTAATTAAAAAAAAATTTAGTATGTTATTTTATTTTAAAATAAATTAACAAAAAAACAACAAGTTAGTATATGAATAGTATAATTACATTAAACTGCATCAAGTTATAAAATTTCTAATACACTACTATGTACAAATAAAAATTATTATTAAATATTTATATTATAAAATAACATATTTTACTTTATATGTAAATTACAAAACATAAAAAAAAATTGTAAAAAACCAACGATTTATGAATTTACGTTAAACACAAGTTAAATCAAACACCCGCACGGGGGTGCGGGTCAAGTTCTAGTCTATCTAT